ACCCTGAACAAAACGAGGGTATCTTGTACATATCGCAGCTTCCATTTCATGTTCGAATGTCTTTTCCATCGAATTCTCCGTTTTGGATCATTTTGGGGTAATATCCCCATATAACCCTTAACCCTGGTATGTCCTACGCTCCTTGCATTCTCCCTTTTCTGTTCCATTCGGTCTCCATTATTGGGGGTAATATCCCTGAAGCCTAGTTTCAATTTATTGTTCATTCCCAGCATACAAACTACAAACCCTGCATTACCTAAACCCCGATATACCCCGTATACATCTCCATAATTCTCCATGTATGTTCTCGCTTGGCCCCTTTGCGTGAGAGGGATCACGCAATCAACCCGAGGCAGGCCTAAGCCCACATCCTGAAACCCTATGTTTAAGTACAATTAAAGATTTAGGGTTTAGGGCTTAAAGGGGTTTATATTGGGGTTATAGTAGGGTTATATTGTGTCTATAGTGGGACAATGGAAAGAAAATGGAAACGACTATGATGGGTTATATATGTTTTAAGGTTTAGGGTGTAGGATGGTACCAAAAAGGGATCAACAGGAATCTCTGATGCTTCAGAAATATTACATAGTGAGTAAACCTCCCGTAGACCTTCCCATAAACTCTTTCTCTGCAGGACTTCAGATAGTCAGCTTAACCAGAAACCATAACAGCCATAACAAAGCCGAGCGGAACTACATTGCCCCCTCTCTTGGCTGCGAATGGTTTCCAGTTGGCATCCTAGTAGGTATCCGGAATGGCCAGTAATTTTGAGCATATACCCTAAACCCTGCCGTAGGCGTCCGAAAAAGTGCCAACATCATTTCGTGGTCTATTTGAAGTACCCGGTACTCTACTTATATAAGGAACCTATGACCATAACACTGCACAATTATTTCTACATCACCCACGTACCTAAGTACAGCCCTGAGCGGGTTCTGGGGCCTCTGCGGGCTCCGCTGGCATCCGATTCCCGCCTGCCCACAGCAAACATCCAGCTTCACGTCGCCTCAGCTGCGTTAATCTGCGAGGATCGGGAAGGAACTATGAAACCAAGAGGGGTCCTGTGGCTTAAGACTCACTGTCTCCCAAAGCAGTCCCATCACTTTTTATCTGAGGCCTTAAGGAATAGCAGGAACGTTGCCGCTTCCTGCTGCATGCCTTGAACGTTTACGAAGGCTACAACCGTCTCCAGGGCAAGGCCTCTGTTGAGTCGCTGATTTCTCAAATGTTCGTGGAGGCGTGCTAAACAAAATGCCAAGCTTAGACAACCTCCCACGCAGTCTGATACAGATGCTGAGCTTGTTAACTTTTGCTCCCGTCCTGGGTATGTATTTATCCTCTCTGGAGACTAGGCTCGGCCCAGGAAAATGGACAAGGAATAATGGGTTTAGGGGGTTTAGGGTAATTACACAAGCCTTGATGTTCTGCCTTGATTCTCTGGCTGCAGGTTTTGAGCTAGGAGTCTGAAATCCTTGAAGATGTAGGGCCGTAAGAACTGCCATCATGCAACATTGAAAGCTTGTCATAAGAGACTAGAGGGCAAACACACGCGACCTTAGCGACATTCCAAAAAAATGTTCGAGCTCCAAGCCTGCAGTCCCAAATAAAGATCTTTTTGACAAGAAGTGATGTGTGTTAGGGACACCTTTTTTACAGGGATTGTAACCTTTCAGCGGTACAAGGTGGACACTGCTCCGGTAGCTGCTTGCGTGGAACCCTCACTGCTCTTGCGTGCATACGAGCTGCTCCACTCCTGCGACAACGCCCACTGGTCCACCTCGCCAGAGGAAGCTTGGATTACAAGCGCATGGTAAATCTCCTTTTCTGAAAGATGATGAACCATGTTGAGACTGTAGAATCGCTAAGCATGGAGGCACGCAGCCCAAACAGCAACAATTGGTCATCCATGAAATCCAATGCTCAATACTGTGTCCCAAACCCTTTACTCTGACACCTGACACAAAACAAGCCCCCCAAAACCGCGCTCCATCCAAACGTCCAAAATCCCCATGTTGCGTATTCCAATTGACGTAATGATTCGTGTCTCTGAATTTGTGGAAGCCCTCACATGCAATTCTCCCGTAGCCCTCTGGTAACCAAATTGTGCTAATCCTGCCGGATTCCCGAACTGTTGAAAAGTTATGCAATATGCAGCCACAAGAATGCAGTGGACATCTACAAGATACGGACCGTATAATACTAATTGAATAATGGTCAGGGCGGTGAGGCGGTGTCTCTCCAACCCATATAATCAAGACAGGTTGCTGGCTGACACTGAACAGCAAAAACTTAAACCCCAAACCCTGAAGAGTCAAAGGAATGGAGTATGCGTAGTTGATAGATGTTAAAAATTAGTGGGCATAACTGCAGTCATTGTGGCTTCTAGGTGTTTTAGATTTTAAGTGTTCCCCCTGACCATCCGAGTATAGAAGCCTAACCTTGCAGTCGACATCTTTGGGCAAAACCCAGGGCTTCTCTTGCTCGTCCATCTCAACAGGCCTGCCAATTGTTCACTTACGGGCTGATTATTTCTATCATTTGTATTGCTATTATTGTTATGGTTAGTGATTATATGGCTATGGTTATTGCTATTCTTGTTATTAGTAATATGGTTATTGTTCTTCTTATTTACCATTTTTTGGTCCCTTGGACCCTTAGGGTGAGAGCTGTACCATGTCGGAGTTTATATGGGGGCCCACTGTTAAAACAGAACCCCTCTGGTGGGTTGTTACAGATACGTATTAAAAGTCAAGTAGTAAGTTATACGTGCTACAAGCAAGGCTGTATCTGCACCAATTCTACTTGAATTGGGCCCCCACTCATATATTTCTGCATATGAACTATAGTCTGAACTCCTAGTATCCGCGCAATCACCCCTATCCTACTCCCCTAGATAATCCCCTATATATAAACCCCTGTGAATCTCCAGCGCTTAGCAGGATAGTAGGTACCGTGCATAACTGAGCAGAGAGATAATATGTAGAGGGAAAACATCAGCCAGGCCTGAAACAATAGAGTTGTTCTTCATTGAGCGCTGCAAACCGCCTCTCTACTTACTTTAGGAACCTCAAGCCCAAAACATCCCTAAGCCCTGAAGATGTCACCCTCAAGGCACGGGAAAGCCGTCAAATCAACAATCTTCTGAGTTCTACCATAGGCCCGGGTGACTCCAACATTGGGATTCCTCAGGAAGTCTAATCACACACGCTTATTCCAGCATGTCCGGAAAGATCAGCCTGCCCCGTACAAGGCCGACAACTGTCTCCGCGACCACGCCCAGTGTGGACCTTTCTTCAGCTATTGGGGTATAATATTTCTAATCCCTCTAGGACTCCTCCTATGACCCCTCGATAGGGGTAATATTTCTACAGTCTCTACAGAACGCCACCTGAGATCACCCTTCTAATCTCCACAGGGGCCAGGGCTTTTGGAGGATGGGAGGCTCTTTGGGATTCAGAATATGTATAAGGTTTAGGGTAGGAAAGGTTATAGGGCTTAGGGTTCAGGCCTGAGGATAGGTTACAGGGATTAGGGCGTAGGGTTTAGGGTAGGCTTTTAGGCTGACAGGGTTATAGGGTAATGGGTTTATGTTTAGGGGAATAAATATAGAGAGTTTATATGGGGTTATGAAGGGTTTTAGAGATATTACCACAACAACGGTTTTCTAGGGCTTTACAGGAGCTATTGTAAGGCGACAGGGGGGGGTTCTGGGATCATGCATGTGGGGCCAGCTAGGGGAAATGGAAAAAAGAACATGGAAACAATGACAAAGAATCACATCAAATAAAAAACTTGAAAATCAAACGGACGATGGCATCTTGCAGGGGCTCACGCTTGGGAGTGTAACGTGGGGGCCTGGCTGATTGCCAATAAGAGGACCTTAGCATTGGTAACTTTGCCCAAAACCACTTTCATGAGTCATGAGCATCAGCTGTTGCCGGAATACCTAAACCGGCGAATCTTTTTTTCAGCCTGGCCACTATAAGGAGCATCAGCTGGAGCATCTACTTCCCAGGATTCCAAACGGCCAGCATCATGAGCACCAGCTGGAGTATCCCAGTCCCAAGAGCCCCACCCCCGCCCAGCATCATGAGAATTAGCTACAAGAACGCAAGCCCGGTCAGCACTATGCGGGGCAGCTGCAGCATCTATTATCTGTAAGAACCCCAGGCCTGCCAGCATCATGAGCATCCGCTGGAGCATCCCCTAATAAAGAACCCGCTCGGCTGGTCAGCATCATGGGCATCAGCCGGGGCTTCTCTAATCAAGAACACCAGCCTGGCCAGCATCATGAGCCTCAGCTGCAGCATCTGGTGCCTGAGAAACCCAAGCACGCGCCAGCATCAACAGCATCAGCTGGAGCATCCTTTACCCAAGAACTCCAGGCAGGCCAGCATCATGCGCATCAGCTGGGGCATCTAGTAATCAAATCTAGTACCAAACAACTCCGAACCAGCCATCATGATCAGCTGGATTGTCCCTTCACAAAGATCGCCAAACCGGCTGGATGACAGGAATGCCATTGCATGGTCATTCACAAAAAGCCCAATGGGTCTGAAAGCCCGGGAGATGTGAATATCATATCTGCAACCCAACCTGTACCAGAATACCCCCCCAAACAAACCTCCAAACATAAAGACCATGAACCTGCAGCCCTGCAACCTCACGCATGTTGCAGCTGGGCTGAACTCCTGATAGGATCTTCTACAAAGCAAGAATTCTTTGGTCCAAGTTCCCGAGGCTCCGACAGAGCCAGCACGCCAAGGCAAGACGAGAACAGCACCTAAGCTGTCAACTGGAACTCTGCTTTTTCTAGCTGAAGCATTGGGAGTTGTGACGTAGGTATGTGTCGTGCCTGTGGTTAACATGGTTTAGCGTTGCTTTGACTTCTGCAGCTCCCGCCGGTCAGGTCTTTTCGGCATGAACTTGCAGAACAGGGATCCACAAAAGCTGCTGGTGAATGGCCATGGGCTGTGAAGGACACGCTGCCTCTTCTGTCTTTATGGGCTACACGCACTCCGAAGATTTTCTCGGGGTTGAACCACTGGTCGAGCTTTAGTACAGAGTGGTACAGATGAGGATTAAGAAGGGTTGGCGTTGGTTGACCTCGCCCCCTGCTGACCGCTCCCATGTCCCTCAATGCTGCAGTGTCCCATGCCCCCAAGTCGCTAGCCCAAAGCAAGGTCTACCTGATGCGGTTATGGAGAAAGATGGAGAAAGAAAACGCCGGCCCCTGCTTCTTTTGTATGACTGTGTCCGCCAACGTTGCTAGCCTTCTTGCCCCTTTCACCTCTTCGCACTTCCGCCTCGCGAAGATTGCTCTCCGCTTCCCATCCTCAACCATGCCAATCACCGCTTAAGCAGAAGCTGGAGTCGTTCCAGGTTGATCAGGACACAACCTGGCTCTTCTTGTTCTGCGTGCCGCGCGACGTCCCCAAGGGACGCGACGCGGTGGGGTTACTCTCATACAACTCTCTTCTTCTTCTATAGGCTACTCTCTCTCTCTCTCTCTCTGTCTCTCTGTCCGTGTCTACTAGTTGCATTAGCGTCAGTGTGGCAGTGGGCTGGTCTCGCCCTGAAATCCCGGCATTTCTGGAACTCAGAGCCGAAATCGTCTTAACATCCTTCGGACCTCCGGAACCCATGACCCGCTCCGCCAGTGCTTGATGTAGAGATTCCCTGTGGGGAGAGCCTTTAGAAACAATGAACATCCAGTACCGCATTATGCCC